AGCCCCAGCCCTCTTTCCTGCCTATGCAGGGGGTCGGACTCGATGATCTATTGAGGTCCCTTCTGACCCTAACATCTATGAATCTGTCTGAAAGAGTAGCATATAAACAAAAATGATTTTTTTTTTCTTCCAGATTTATGATCTGGAATACAATGATGGGTACATCTATACTAAGTATCCCATGGGGAATAAAACAGGTAAGGTGGAGGAAATAATATTGGCTTTTGCAGCATGTAATTTGTTGTTCATTTGTGTCAACAGTATACCTGGTTAACATATAAAATTAAATATATTTCTTGTTTTAAACAGGCAGGATTTACCAATGGAATTATTCTGATATTACTAATGGGACTTCTGACACTTTACTGCTGTTACAGAGTTTTGAAATCACGGACTATGATAGAAAGTAAGAATCTGTTGCACTATAGTACACACAAGGGTCTGTCTCATGATTTAAAGCGAAATCCTTGAGATCTTAGAGGTTTTTGCCTCGAACTCCAAGAGACATTTGATGTAATACAAAGCGGTCCAGCTTCTAAATGGCTGAGGGCTGAATGCCCTGCAGGCTTTACCATGGGAGGTTGCTTGCTTGTGGGCTGGGGCGGAGGCAGGCAGTGAAAGCTAGAGGAGTGAGGGGAACCTGGAGGCTTTGGATGCTGTTATAGCTGGAATGATGGGAGGGAGCCATGGCTGGGGAGGAGCTCAGGGGTTTAACCCTTCATAGGCTGCCAGTTGGACAGCCCTGCTGTAATAAAAATCCAGTTGTGAAACAGAATACTGCTGCTTTGGGAGTGTTGTACTTTTAAGTTGTTGATGGTCATCTAGCACTTAAAAGAGGGTTTGAATCTATGAGAGAGGTCTGGGTAAACAGCATGATCTCTCCTGATCAAAGTATTCTAATATCTAACCACCTGCTTATTTTATTTCTTCATACATTTGTATTTTTATGTTTATATAGCTTCAAAAGATACTTCAAACTGGGAATTCCCAGATGTCTGCAAGCACTATTTTGGATCCTTTGGTCAATGGTCCAGTCTCTTATTTTCAATGGTATCACTTGTTGGAGCCATGGTTGTTTATTGGGTACTTATGTCCAACTTCCTGTTCAACACAGGAAAATTTATATACAGTAAGTAAAAGTGTTTGGCTTAAATTAGATATTTAGCCTTTAAGCAGTGGGGTTCTGACCTGCATCTTCATGTTCTGTCTCTTATTCCACAAGAATTGGCAAGCAGAGGACAATTATGCGTGCACACAGCAAGTGATTAGAACTGATAGCCAACACCTGGATGTTCTGTAGCATCAAATGGAAAAACCAGGGTTTAGTAAAAACATATTTTGATGTGTTGCTTTCAGTGTCTGTATTCACAGCACTTTCCAAACCTCTCATCACAGTAAGAGAATGTCCTGATCCTAACATCTGACAAAATGCTAAACAGGGTTAAACTCAAGTTTCCTGTCCTGGACACCTTACCCTATTGATTAATGACTAATGGAATCTACAGATGACCTAATTCAGATTTTGTCCTAGATAATTATTTTTATAGTTATTGCAAGCAAATTTCATAGTGTTTGAACAGGTCCCTTTTCCAGAAATAAAGACATAAACAAAGCTCTGCTGCTTTCCTCCTCTTCCTGTTCTCTCTGTAAGCTTGATATGTTTTGTCATTGTCAGTCAGCTAAGAACCACCTTATGAAAATAGAATTGGTAATACTAGTTCTGTGGTAACTTTAATGACTAGAGCATTTTTCTAACTTTGACTATTAAATGGTCAAAATTAATCTACTCAGGGTGCTCACAGGATACTGTGTATGATTTTAATGCACTGAAGAATACTATTAAATTGAGAAGTTTTATTTAAATATATTCACATTAAACAAATTGGTTATCTAGTGGAGGATATCTTAGAAAATAGCATTATATACAAACGGTTTTAGACAAGAATTCTTCAGATATGGATATTAAGTGAAATACAGCTTTCCTTCTCTTGTGTAGGTGTGCCTGTTTGATAGTTGTTTTTTTAAGTATCCAAAAGTGACATTTGATAGTTCTAAAGTACTTTATGTAAGAAAGAAAAGAAAGAAAAGAAATCTCATTTGGGAATCAATTTATAACTTCCATTAAAGCATCTGGTTATTCTCTAAGTGCATTTCAGGTTTTTAATATTTTCCATTAAGAAGCATTTTTTTTTTTTTAAATCACAAAACAAGGGTGATCTTGGACACATCTGCTTGCTCTACCCATTGAACTACTTCTATTTTAGCAGCTGGAAGACTTTGATGGAATTATTATTATTAAAAGAATAGCAATGTTTAAACCTAAGAAAAAAATAGTTGTTTTCTCTGCATCAGGTTTGTAAAACTCAGACTCACATTCATTGTGGCGAAGAAATCTGAAGCCAGCAGCACCAAATGCTTTATTTCCTTTACACATGAATGCACTTATACTCACCATGAGATGTTGTCCTTAAAGCATTCAGTCAGTGAGACTCACTAAATTGTCAAGCTGTTGGACCTGCATGTGTGTATGTGTGACATCAGTGGTGATGACCCAGACTTTTAAATGGAGGTTTGATGTCTGTATTCTTTTCAATGCCTGGTCTAATATTTTCAAGCATTAATTTAGTAAGACTCAAATTTTCTATGTTGATCATCCAGTCTAAGAGACACAAACAACTGGGGCAAAATCTTATCCATTTTAACTAAGATAACAATGTTAAAATCATTTAAGGGTGAGTGTTCTTCCCTTGAGCACTGTATTTTCCACAAATTCTTTGAGTACTGTCATCATACTTGATCTAGTTTCTTTTATGCTAAATAGAAGAAGGTTTCTATTGCATGACAAGAAACTAGGAACCAACCAACTGAAATTTCAAAATATAAAACCAAAAGGAGGCATAACCTTCCTTGACAAAGATGGAACCAGCAATATTGTAGAAATTCAAACAGCACCATTTAGCAAAGTCCTGACCTTTTCTTGTAGATGTATATTAGTAGACATGACTAAAGGTGGCAAAATTAGGTCTTGCCTGAGAAATCTAGTAATGGAATAAATGCAGAATAGCATAATCATTCAGCAATCTAATAAAAATATCCCAAGAGTTAGTCTGACTTGTTTTTTAAGCCAGCTGTATAACTTAAAACTTTTTGCCTACTGTAAATACTAAATTTAAAAGGCTAGCTAAGTACAAGCACATGCAGCAACAATTGTTCATCTGTTTTACTTCTATAATCTGATAGTATAAAGTAATTGTTAGACTCATTGGGATATATCAGTTTAGATCTGTGATTCCCTAAGTTTTGAACCAGTGGGCCATGCTAACTTTCAAAATGTCTCAGACCACATGAAAACATCCTTAAACCAAAATGAAAAGGGGGAAGATGTGATCTGTAGACCACTTACTATGGCCACAACACTACCCATGGACCACTGTTCGGGCCAACTGGTATTCATCAGCACCTTGATTTTGAAAAAGGACTAGTCTCTTTTAAACTGACGGTATTCAAAAAGAGCTGAAAGAAACTGACTCTTTAAAACAGCAACATAAAACAGTTGTCCAAAAGGAGGCTCTTTTCCAATTTCCAATAAAATGCAGAATGTTTCCAAAAACTTTCGATAAAACTGTCAGTGTTTCTTATCTTGCAAGCAATTGACAGAAAAAGCTCTTTTTCACACATGTGAACAAACACCAAAAAAGACACATGCTATTAAAAGGCAGTTTTAGATTAAATCAAGCTTCATGTGAAATGAGTAGGTTTTCTAAGATGGGAAGCTAAGAATATTCACTTGGAAGATGATGCAAAATACTCTTTTGTCTCTCTACTTTTAGTTCCATAGATGTGGTACTTCTTTAATGTGTAGAAATAAGATACAAATTAATAGCATGCATATAATAAGAGTATTTTCTTAATTTCAGATTATGTTCATGACATTAATGTCACAGATATCATTCCTGGCACTAATGGAAGTACCAGAGGTAAGAAAAATCACATTAGTACTGTGCCTGTGCATTAAAATACATCATGATGTTTTGTGGCCCAAACTTTACTCAATTTCAGTCATTTTAAAATAAGGCCTTTTAAATTCTGTCTGTCTAGTTTTAAATTACCATTTCATTTCTGGATTCTCTTTTTTTAACAAATAACTACAGTGGCCAATATTGAAGCAATGACTAGTTATTTTGAGTTCCCAACTCAGTACTTCATTTATTATCTGCTGTAAGAATATCTAGTTCTTCAGTGGGGCCTTAAGGCAAGCACCCAAAAAGTAAGGACACCAAATCACTAATAGCTTTTAAAAATCTTGCCTGAGACATTCATGCTCTCTTTGCTAACTGCCACAGTATCCCTTTTAGTAGAAAACACTTTATCCAGAGCTTTAATAATATTGCCAGAAATCAGGGCAAAGTGGTACCATATAGTTTAACTTGTTCAGAGAGGCATGAACTTTCATGGGCAACAACTTCATCAGGTTCTATGAATGGACTTGCAGGGAGCTAGGGTACTAAATAGAAAGGAATTACGTCATTTAAATACACAGGAAAGGGAAAGGGGAAGGAGATGATTGAGGGAGGGGCACTGCTGAGAGAGATGAAGGTGGGTTGAAGGGACCAAAGGGGATAAGCAAAGGGATTAACCCAATGAGGTACAAAAGGGTTATAAAAGCTAGTCCAGGTAATGGGATAAGAGTGTGGAGACTGTTGAGACAGTTTGTGAATGAGTTCTTACTCTTCATTTTCATGTTTAATAATACTGTTTGATGGTACCTTACAGAAGAAGATGAAAATGGTCAAGTAACATACTGTAAAACGAATGTTGTGGAAAAGGCCAAATCCCACGTATGATTTCTTGGCTTGGGTATAAGCTTCTGTATGTATTAGTCTGTCTCCATCAGAATTCCTACTCATGGGGATGGGAGGCAGGCTTAAAGACAAGGGGTTGGCTGTGGCCTTTAGGTAGTAACTGAACTTTATAGACGAGTGTTAAAAAAAAAACCTGCACTTTACCAAAAGCATCAGCATGTTACTTTGACCTGGCTCTACAGAGTCTGTATATATTGGGCACTTCAGCAGGGTTTCATGGCACTTTTTATGTAATAGCTGATTCAATCAGCTATTAGATAAAAGTGCCACAGAAGCCCCACTAAAGCGCCCAATTTTATACAGATGTTGAGAAAGCCAGGTCCAACTAACATGCTGCCTCTTCTAGGTATGACTGGGCTTGATGCGGGAACATGCTGAGTTTGAAGTAAAGCGCTGTTTTGGTTTTTGTTTGTTTGTTTTAACATATGTGAGCAGTCATAATGTTTTGCTAGGAACAGAAGACAGCCTCTGTCTCTTATGAAACTAAGACAGAAAAATGTCCCATGTCGAAATTGATACCTCTGCTTTAGGGTATCTGTTATCATGACATCATCAGGGCCGTCCGTAGTGGTGGGCGAGTGGGGCGACTACATCGGGCTTTGGGGGGCCCCGCGGGCAGTGCCGTACAGGCCCTGCTGCAGCTGCCGTGCGCTGCTGGCTCCATGGTCCGGCTGTTTACCACCATCCCCGCTCCCCCCCAGCACAGGCTGATACGCCCCGGGCCCTGCACATCCATAGGGATGGCTCTGAACATCATCAATGCCATTGTAATATGATTGAGGCCCCTCCAGCCAGCAAGGTAAAGTTATGGCTGAAGGTGAGATTAGGAGCATTTTCCTCTGCAGTAATATTCTTTTAGGTTTTCTGTTTGTGTGTATGTTTCATGCTCTTCTAAAGGGTCTTAATGGAATGGGTGAAGAAAGCAGTGGTAAGATGTATTCCACCCCCCCACCCCCCAATTTGCTAGCACATGACCTGCTGAAGAAGCTCTAACGTTGATACATTGGCAAATGTGAGGGAAACTAGAGCTGGAAGTAACGGTTGAGAAACATTCCATGATAGCAGCCAAACCCATACTAATTTTGAAAGGTTTTTCTATTTTCTGAAAATATTTTGAATAATCCCAATTTAAAAAGCCACATTAAATGCAGCTTACTTCCACATAAGGGAAAGTCCTCATAACTGTCAAGGTCTGCCTAGCTACATATGCAACCTATTAAGTCAATTATTTAATAAGCCTGTTTATACATAATTTCCTGTAATTGTAAGTTTCAGTTTTTATGGTCAATACGTATTCCTACATGAAGTGGCAGAAGAGAGGAGCTGCATAAGTTTGGCAGAGATCAAAGGCAATGGGTTCCTTTGGGTGCTAAAATAGGAGAGGGATTAGTGGAGGGTTTCTGTTGTGGTAAGGGGCAGTTTACAAGGACAGGTTTTGGATGTTGTGTGGCTACTGGGGTGTAAGGTATGCTGGGGGAAGTGAATGAGTGCTTTGTGTGTGGGAAGCTGGGGCAGTGGTATGTCCCTGCAGAGCGGCTGTTTCTGGATCTTGCTGGCAGTCGGGGTCAGATAGAGAGGTAAGGGGTCATTCTGAGAACTAGAGAGAAAGGGGGGTTGGCCTTGATCCCCTGCCCTCTCCTCTCTTGTCCTGCCAAGTTGCACACTGCTACTGTTGGTGCTGCAACCCCTATTGTCCCTGTCCTGTTATCTTGCCCTGAAAAAGATGCAAACTGCTGCTGCCTGGGCCCCATCTGATCCACAAGGGAGGACCAGTCAGAGGAAGCAGACATTCCATTAGGCTGCCTGGATCCAGGCCCCTTAGCAGCCTCTAGATTGAAGGCATGACTGCAGCTGCTGCAGGAGGGCATGGCAGCGCTGCTAGATGCTTGACTGTCACTTAAGAGCTCTTTTGCCACAGAGAAAAGGACCTCATCAGTAGAGACAAAAGCATTTTTCAGCGTTGTGTGAAACAACCCTCTTACACAATACAGAGGTAGGGGGAAATAGAAAACAGTAATTTCAAAGTGACTCAGTGGTGTCCCTTTTAACTTTCAGATTTATGACCAAATGCTATCTAGAGCTTTGTCTTTAAGTTATTGTAACCAGGCAGGCATGCAACCAGCAGGGGAGAGTTTGAAGCATTATGAAGTACAAAGGTTTATAAATGGAAATTGGAGAAAACAATAGGAGGATTTCACATTTCTACACAACCCAGGAATTGCTGTTTATATTTACAGACAAGAAGAACTAAGTCCAGTCAATATATAAAATATTTTAACCATTTAAATGGCTGCTTTTCTGGTTGTCAGATCATGACTTGAGCTTATCTTCCATAGCGCTTGTACTGGTTTTCACGCAACCAGTATGATACTGTGACTTGCTCAGATACAGAAGTTTCAGAACAGCTGCTGATTATGCTTGCCCTTTTCTCATGTCACAGGCATGGCGTCTTCAAAGCCATATACACATAGCTCTACTAATGCAGGCATTTGTGCATGTAGCTGTACATTCATTCTTACCTATGCACTTGCCACATGACTGAACATGTCTGTTTTATTAATTTGAGCAGAGGTAGACTTAAACGTATGTATGTACACAGTGAGGCAGCTGTGCACATGGTCAGCACCCACAGACAGTCATGTGTGTGTGGCCCTGGAGTCGGATACTGTACAGCAGTCATCATTCCTTTCTTCATGGTCAGTTGCTAACTCTTTAGGCTCCGTGCCGAAGTAAATGGAGAGGCTGCAGAGAAAAGGGTTGGGCCCAATAGTCCTTTTCTAGTTTACCACTAAGGTTTTACTAATGTACAAGCCTATTTAAGCTGGTTTAAAGTTTGGAATGGTTCAAAATTGAACTTAGAAAATCGGATAGCATTTTGAACTGATTCTGCTGTGACCTGGGGCAGTGTTTTACGTGAATACATAGTGTTTTGCAACCTGGGTCTGCTCAGTCCTCCAGAAATCCCCTATTGCTGTAACTAGTTGCTCTGGTAGATGGCCAAAATTCTGCTGGGCCCTCTTTCCCCGTTTTTGGCACTTTTTATTAAGGAATTCCATTGCACAACTTGTCCAAGAATACCTGTCTTTCCAACAACCAGTTGTGTTCTCACTCTCTAGTTGGTTGTGGCCCTTCCTTATGTCCTCCCTCTGACC